ACCTTCGCCACATACGTAAATTCTTTCAGCCAGAAGGAATAAAGACGTCAGAGGTAATAATTGAAGAAACACTCACTGTCTTAAGCATAATAAAATAATATCAATAATAATAATAATATAAATAATAATAAATAGGTCAAACTATGATGCCCCAAATATTGGCCAATGACAGGTCAAGGTCGGTTTTTGATTTATCTGTTTCCTGTGGAATCGAGAAGGAAGAAAAATATTTTTGAATAATTTTGAAATAATAAATTTTATTATTATTATTAATAGTAGTAGTAGTATTTTAATTACATACAAACAAACATACATACAAACATACATACAAACACACATACAAACACATACAAACATACATACATACAAACAAACAAACATACAAACACACATACCCTCTCTTAAATGGCTCTTTGATGATGACGATGACGATGGCGAAGACATTGAATATTTTCTGCTTGTATCAGCAGTTATGTCTGTAGTGATAATGATGATTGTGATGGTGATAATGATGATAAAGATGATCATAATGATGAAAAAGATGGTGATGATGATAACTGTGGTGATGAACTCCATTGTAATGTTTCGAATTATGAAAATGATGGTGTCCCGCAAATTTTCTGATATTTGGCATTGGATTTATATGACGTGATACTTGAAATAAAGACGATGCAGAAGACGGTTTTGATGTACAGTACTAATAATAATAATAATAAGAAAAAAAAACAATAATATTAATAAATTAATTAATAAATTAATAATAATAATAACAATAATAATAAAAACAATAATAATAAATTATTAGCTCACCGCTCTGAGGAGCCAATGAAAATTTTCTATTATCATTCTCTTTAGCAAAACTCGAAAATGATGAAAAACCGCTTACATCTCTATTACTGCCCCCGCCAAAATCTCGACCATCTTTGTTGCTGGTCACGCCAAAATTGCTGCCATCTTTGCTGCTATTACCGCCAAAACATCTGCTATCTTTGAATCTGTTCCCGCCAAAACCTCTGTTATCTTTGTTGTTGTTCCCGCCAAAACCTCTGTTATCTTTATTATTATTATTCCCGCCAAAACCCCTGCCGTCCTTATTGGTATTCCCGCCAAAACCTCTGCCATCTCTGTTGCTGTTCCCGCCAAAATCTCTGTTATCTGTATTATTATTATTCCCGCCAAAACCTCTGCCATCTCTGTTGCTGTTCCCGCCAAAATCTCTGTTATCTGTATTATTATTATTCCCGCCAAAACCTCTGCCATCTCTGTTGCTGTTCCCGCCAAAATCTCCGTCATCTTTGTTCCTGTTATCGCCGGAACCTCTTTTATCGCCAAAACCTCTGTCATCTTCGTAGTCGTCACGCGACGAAGTAGTATCGGGCCGATTACTGCTACTACCGCGAAGAATTCTTCCTCTATTTTCGCTCACCACTTCCATATAAGGTCCTTGATTGTCGCTGGCTGCTAAAGAAGAAGTAGTTCTATTAACAGATTGGGATTCCCTTGGGTTTTCCAAAGTGCTATAATTAAAATTTTGGGTTTCCCTTGGGTTTTCCCAGCAATTTTTAAATGCTAGGGATGGGTCGTATTTTTTTTTGCCCTCGAGGGCATCTAATTTTTCCGTTAATTTTTCTATGCGCCTTCTGTTCATCGTATCTTTGGTTCGGAGATTCTCAACTTCCTGTTTAAGAGTGGTTGATTTTATGAGATAGATAGATGGACAGACAGATAAACAGACAGACACAAAAAACAGAGAAAAAATGACGATGAAAGAATGACACAAACGAACGAACAAGAAAACAAACGAACGAACGAACGAACAAAAAACAAACGCAGACACACACTGACATTCTTCAAAGATAAATTTTCATCTTTCAGTTTGACCATATGGTGAATTTTTTGTTTGTGGTTCTGGTGTCCGAGTACCTTAGCGTACTCTTTGCTCAGCTTGTCCACTTCATTCTGAGCATTCTTGTGGCGACTTAATAGAGCTTGCTTCTCCAATTCAAACTGCTCCAACTGGTCCTGGTAATGATGGTAGTGGTTGTGATGATGACGATTTCGTCCATCATTATCATCATAACCATAATCATCCTCATCGACTAACTTTGAACGGTTCGACTTTTGCCGCTAAATCTTCATACATAAATTTCCATCTATAAAATAATAAGGAGAAAATAATAAGAATGAGAGAAATAATGGCCTAGATCAAATGTTCTACCGAAATTCGACATTTGAGTTCGGCCATTTTGAAAAGGCGAAGAGTGCAACATCCGTTTAAGCCATCACTTTTTTCGACTAAGCAACAATAATTGTTGACTTTTATTACCGAAAAATTTATTTTGGCCACCATGGCTGTTAGAACATCTGAATTCGGACAAGAGACCGAACACTATCTCAATAAACAGCCTAGTCTTTCTTTCAATAGTTTGTAAATCACATTAAAATATAAAATTCTATTCAACATTTTGGGTTTTTAGCTCGAATAGTGGATCAACTATGCGGTTAAATTTACTATTCGGGGCATCTCCAAATCTTAAATAGCAATAACAACTCTCACCTATCACATTGTTGTTGTAGTGTGGTCATTTTCTCAACAAGCAGGTCATATTCTCTGTAAAAGTTTAAACAAAATTTGCATAAATCAATCAACCAACTAATCAATCAACCAACAAATCAATCAACCTAATTTTTTCCGAAGTTTTAGCTTTTTCATCGGCTAAAGATCTTTCAATTTCTTTTTTCAAACTCAACTGCTGGTTGGAAAGTTCAGTTGAGATTTCGTCAACTTTTAACTGTAGCCATATCTTTTCTTTCAATAACCTGTATGCATGTTTGAGACTATATGTGTGTGTGTGTTTGCGTGTGTGTATGTTGTGTGCGTGCGTGTGTGTGTTGTACGTGTGCCTAACTTTTTATTCTCCATGGTCAAATTATTGATCTCTCTCCCCAGTTCATTTTCTCGCGCCTGAACCTCTGACGACAGTCTGAAAAGAAGAAATATCAACAATAATAATAATAACAACAGTTATTAGTACTACTATCTATTTTTTATTAATTCTTGAAAAATTATTCAATTTCTACCGTTGCAATTCAGAATCTTTGGTCCTAAGATCAGTCGAAACATCGGATAACACGAGTTCCTTCCTATCTAACTGCTTTAAAAGATCACTACACTCGTTTTCGAGACTTAATTTCACCTTCGAACATGCATCTTCTACTGATTTTAACTTAACCTCCATCTGCAGTAACTCCGTTTTTAATCTTTCATTTTGCTCGTTTTTAGTTTTTAGGAGGTTTTCAATTCTCGATACCTTCACTTTCAGTTCATTGCTGTCGAGTTCTACGTATTTAAGATCGGCCAACTTCGACTGATGCTCCCGTTCTATTTCTTTCAGTTTTAAATCTTTCTCGTGTAATGCATTCTCAATTTTCATCAATTCATTATCCTTGGTAGAGCATAGATCTTCTAACTTCATAATCATCTCGCTATGAGACTTTATTTGGTTTTCCATACTCTCTATCTTTTCATCTTTTTCAACGATTACCGCTTCGAAATCTTGAATTGTGCGCTCAGTGGTTCTGTTAATTTCTTTCAGTTGATTTATCACTTTTTCATTTTCCCATAGTTTTGATTCTATGTCCACTAATTCTTTCTTTGTTTTTGCATGTTCCAATTCAGAATCGATTATTTTTTGGCTTTTAGAATTGAGATCCACTTTCAGTTCGTTGATTTTTATATCTTTGGAGTCGACTGCGATGTTCAGGGAATCAATGGTCTTCTGCATATCTACCATCTAAAAATGAAATAAAAGAAAGATGGCATGAAAAAATTTTACGCATATGCAAACGTTGGTAAAAAATCAAACATACACAATACACACACACGCACACAAACAATTCAAATTTATAATAAAATTTAATTAAATTAAACAAACCTTGATATCAAAGCTCTCTCTCAAATCATTAACCTGAATAACGAGATCAGAATTTGACTTTTTCAAATCACTTTCAGACAGTTTCAACCTGCTAACAACATCATTCAAGTTGTTTATCAGTATTTTATTTGCACTACACAATCCATCTAATCTATCCCTTTCACTTCTAGCTAACTCCAACTCGACTACTCTGAACGATAATTCAGAATCCAGTTTCATTTTTTCATTAGAAAGGTTGGATACTTCTGAGTCTTTAGATTTAATTTCAGTTTCTAGGTTTGTTTTGAGAATCTCACTGGCCTCGAGATCGAGTTTCAGATTCTGAATTTGATCATTAAATTCTTGCGTCGAACTTTTAAGTTTTTCTTCACTCTCTAAAAGTAAATTTTCAGTAACGTTTAACTTTTTTTCAATTTCTGAAAGTTGAACCGACCATGACATAGTTTCTGACGCTAGAGTTGCTTCAAAATGTATCTTTTTATCGTTCATTTCTTTCACTAGATCATTAATTTTCGAGTCAAATTCAGAGGTGATCTCCTTAATTACCGTCTCCTTCTTAGACCAGACTGCATCCAACTCTTTGAGGAGTACTGAATTTTCTGTAGTTAATTTTTCACAAAGCTCTTCAAAATTTTTCACTTTAGTTTCGTAGTTTGATTTTTCAGTCTCAGCGTTATCTTTCATTTCAGAAAGATCACACTCCATCTTCAATATCTCCGAATTAAGTGACGTTATCTTTGATTCTGCCTGTTCCATCTGGCTTAGTTTTTCCATATACTTCATGTTCAGAATCTCTATCTCACTGTTTAATTTTAAAATCTCATAGTCGCGGTTTTCAGTAACTTTTTTTATCTCGTCTTCATGCTTTATGTTTGATGATTTCAATTCTCTTGCTTCTACTTCTAATGTCTTTTTAACATCGTCTAAAGTTTTAAGTTCATCAAGTAAATGTATTTTTTCAGTCTCTAGAGATAGAATCTTACTGGATAAGTCTTTAAAATCCTGCTCCATCTTAGTTATTTGGCTCTCTTGAGCGTTAATTTGCAGGTTTAGATCGTCAATGTTCGTGATTTTTGCATGTAAGAGATTGTTAATTTCATTAATTTTCTCTTTAGAGTCTTGTAACTCGATGAGTTTTTGATTGAGGAGGGTTTGAAAATTAATTTTCGCATTTTTAATGTGAACAAATTCCTCAGAGATATTTTCATTTTCACTTCTCAATGTTTCTGATTCTCGCTGCAATGTGCCTATAGTTTCTTTTAAACAGAGAATAATATTATTAGTTTTATTCAAATTTTTTTCAATTTTAATCATTTCCACTGTTTTGGCTTCTAATTTTGAATTAGATGCTTCAAGATCTGTTCTTAAAATCTCAATTTCTTTATTAAGTTCGGATGGTTTTTCTTGCAATTCTAAAATAATTTTATTCAACTCATCTTTTTCATTTTGAGTGCTTTCGACAAATAAATTATATTTGCTGTTACTTTCTTTTAAATCAGTTTCCAGTTTCTGAATTAAATTTGAATTCACTTTTTTTATTACCTCAAGCTGTTCAACTAAATTTTTCAAATCAGTGTTCTCCGCATTTAAGCTGTTACACTTTTCACTAAAATCACTAATTGATATCTTGTAATTTTCACATTCTTTGGTCAAATTTGAGATTTCAGATTCTAGGCTAGATAATTTTTCATCTTTGTCCTTATTCGAAGATTCAAAAACGGAAAATTCAGCTCTCAATTTATTTATGGTGCTAGAAAGTTCCAAACATTTTTGGCAGTCTGAGTTGAAATGATTCTGCGCTATATAAATTTGCCCCAACAGATCAGTTCTTTCTGCAACATTTTCTTTCAACTTAGCTTCATATTCGCCTTTTACGATTTCATTTTCAACATCAGCATCACCATCATTATCGTAAAGAGTATTATCATTATTCTGATTATCATCCTCGCCATCATCAACGTCATCATCTTTAATGTTATCATTATTCACAATTTCGTTGTTGGGCGTAATGTTAGCACCATTGAAGACCTCGTCATCTCCGGCCCAATTTAGGTGATCTATAAGATCGCCACCCCCCGATTTTCTACTGTCGCCATCCCCATAACCACTGCCCCTATTAGTCAGAACCGTTTTGCTCCCTAGTTTAGGGATCTGTAATGTTGAAAAAAAAAGAGTTTTTAAATTAATTAATGAAAAATAATATTTAATTAATTTTTCGAAATATTTATTTATTGCAATTTTAAAATATCGACTAAAAACGTGATAAAAAAAAACACACACAGACACCTTAGATTTACCAGTCGAACTGGTATATGGCATTTTATTCTTATCCATGGTACTACTTTCTAGTTCAGCCTTATCTTTCATGCACATATCAAATCTTTTTTGCAATTTTAAGAGTTCCTCACTCTTCATTTGAAGACTTTGATGAAGGTAGTTCCGTTCTTCGACCAAGAGTTTGTACTGTTTATTTGTAATTAGTGGATGGTTTGATGAATGAATAAATGAATGAATGAATAAATGATCGAAAAAGTTCTTGTTCATTGAAGTATCTAGCACATATCAATCAGTCAATCAATCTTCGTTTTGAATGTATTTAGCACATATGAACATTTTTTTCTTCCGATTTTATAATCTAAACTTTAAAGAACCGCTTTTACTATTAAGAAAATTTTGCACAATAAACTAAAATTATTCTCAATTTCATATACGAACGTAGTCATAAATGTATTTACAGCGTATCTCTTTTTCTGTGGTACGATAAAGTAAGTAAAGTTTATTTAGCTTGCAGTAAACTCAAATTATTTCACTCTCTTCAATCTAACTTCTTGCAATGACGTCATTCAACCAAATCACACACACACATACACACACAGAGAAAATTTGTTGACCAATTGAAAAAAAGAAATTATTAAGTTAATTGTTAAGTTAAAAAAATTTACGAAATTTTTTTGCAGTTAGGAAATTGGATGCGTGAGTGAATTGATAGATTAATAAATAAATGATTGATAAATTGGTTGGAAACAACATCCTAGACCTTCTTTTCCCAATCTTTAACTCTGGCAAAATCAGCTGGAGGCATTATTTTGGGAATCCCAGACTTCCTGGGTGCTGGCTCACTTTGCATCTAAAATCAGATAACATAAAATAAACACATACATACGTACGTACATACACACATACATATATACATACATTCATACATGCATATACACACGCATGTAAAGATACAAACAACCGAAATTTTATTCAGAAACAAAAATGATATGAGAGAGAAATGTCTTGAGGTTGAAAAAAAAATTTTTTTGTCTTTGCCACCAAAACACACAAAGTTACACAAACAGATACACATACTGTTACACAAACACACACGCGCACACATACATACAAACACACACGCACACATACAAACACACACACACGCACGCACACACAGCATCACTAACAGATGCCAAAGACTCCACACTAGGAGCGGTTGACACACCAGGTTTTGATGGAGATTTCCCTAATCGACCACTGTGGGAGCTAGAAACGCTACTACTCCTAATTCGGTCGGGTCGATCAAGTATGGAAAGCCCAAGATTAGGACCCGGTGTCTCATCTGGGAAATAATTTATCTATGTATGTATGTGTGTATGAATGAGTTGATGAATGGTTCAAGTGAATGAATGAATGAAGAATGAAAGAACAAATGATTAAACAAATAAATGGATGGTCCAATGGATAAATGTGATTGTCAATTATGTGAAGGGTAGATGGATGAACAAAACCATGATCACTAAGAAAAATAAAACTAAGATATACTTAAAATTTTCCAAAAATTAAACACAAAACCAATCAAAATTTAAAAAAAAAAAATAAAAACCCTTAATATCTTTGAATCTCTCATCTTTTGTATTCAACGAAGGGCCTTGAACTTTATCCAAAAGTTTGGGGTCATAGTGACCAGGTGGTGGTGCACAGGCTAATAATTAATATTATAATTAATAATATATATGTATTATATTACATTTACTAATTTATCTGTTATTCATTTATATTGCAGTGTAATGTAAAGTAAACTTAACCAACATAATTAAATAATCATTCATTTCATTTTTAATTAAAAATTGAAATTCAATAAGAAATAACAATTTAATTTATTTAATCACATTTGAAATAAAATTAAGTTATTGTCGAATAAACTGGGTTAATTTTGACACTTAATTTAAATTTTCAAATAAACAATTTTGAATCATTTTTTCATTTTTTTGTAGAAAATAAAATTAAAAATAAATGAAAATAATTTCTAAAGTGTATGTGGCACTAACTAGTAACTTCGTTGAAACGTTTGACTTTTGCTCGTGAGAACGCCATTTTGACAGAAAAAGCTATTATTTAATTATTTTTCGTGAAATTAAATGGAAAAAATTGATAACTTTGACACAACTTTTAAATTGTCGCGGTAACACTAACTAAAAGCGAACTTAAATTTTAAGCCGTGTTTTAGTTCAAATTCGTTTATGGAAAGCCGATTGACTAGAACACCAATCGATTTTCCAAATCGTCAACAGAGCTGACCATTCATATCGATCGTCCATTCATTCAATCTGATACACAAAGACTCTACCGCAAATTTACAAACTACACCGACTGATCCGAACGACGATCGACCAATCATGTTGTCCATCAATCAATCACTCAGTCAATTAAGCAATCAATCTATCATTCAGCCAATATCAATCAATCAATCAATGAAGCAATCAATCAATGATTGTCTATCATTCAATCCCTCACTCTATCATTCAAGCAATCAATCAATCATTCAGCCAATATCAATCAATCAATGAGGCAATCAATTAATTCCTGATATGTAATAAATAAAATGTTAAATTACGAAACGCTAATCAGTTTGAAAATCCATCGATTAACCATTTTGCCAATCAGTCAATCCATCAAATCAACCAATCAAAACCAAGACTAAACAAATTTTAACTATCACAGTCTCAGGTTTAAAATGACTAGTAATATTCAACTTCATTTTCGCATAAATATTACAATCAAAACTCAACAAAATGAAAACAGTTAGTCACATGACGTCATCGCAATCATCCCCACCGTCATCATCAGCCATCATCATCATCCTCACTAATATCAACAAGTGTTTTACAATTTTTATAAAAAAATACAACTCGACGAGCCAGCATGAAAAAAGTTAATCAACAATTTCAATCTAGTATCTGTCAATCAATTAAGAGTTCAATCAATCAATTAACCAACCAATCAATCAATCAAATATTTTAATTAATTAAATTGTCAATCAATTAATCAAGCAACCGACCGACCGACTGAACACAAAAAATTTTAACCAACTATCATTTTCTTAATGACAAATATCCATCATAATCTCACTCACTCATATATATATATATATATATATATATATATATACAGAAAGAGAAAGAAAGAGAGAGAAAGAGAAGCGAAAGAAAGAGAGAACAATACATCAAAATATATTTAAGAGAAAAAAAGAGAGAGAAAAAAGAACATTAATTTAGTAACAACTATTATAATTAGAGAGAGAGAGAGAGAGAGAGAGAAAGAGAGAGAGAGAGAGAGAGAGAAAGAGATCATATGTTTAACAGGATGCGGTTTTCTACATCGTCAATGAAAGGCTTCCATAAACATTCTGGAACGTTTACAACCGATCTGAACTTGTTGCCAGTCTAAAAAAAAAGAGGTAATTATGTGTGATTTTAATTTCTTTCATTCATTCATTCATTCATTCAATCATTCATTCAATCATTCATTCATACGTACATTCACCCATTAGTTCATTTATTTAACCATTCACACATTCACCCATTCATTAATTCGTTCGTTCGTTCATTCAACCAATTCATTCCTTCACCAATTCATTCATCCCCTAATTCATTCATTCATCGCCAACTTATTCAATCCCCCAGTCAGTCATTCACTCACCCACCCGTCCATCAATGCACTAACTTCAGTTATCTTCAGCAATCCATCCCCTCCAGACTGGCCCTTCCTTACTTCGAATAGAAATCTCCTGTCATTACAAACTAGCACGCCATCAACATCGTCCTCACCACCATCACCTCCACCATTATTATTAACATTATCATGGTTATCTCGGAGGTCAGCACAGATATTTTGGTCGAGTGTTTGATTGGCCGATGCACTGACCTCTTCATCGCTATCTGGGACGTATATGATCCTCTTCTTTCCCGCCATTTCGCTATCGATACCAGCAGCGTTTCCAGCACCAGCGCCTGGAATCAACCAATCAATCATTCAATCAATCAATCAACTAATTATTCAACCAATCAATCAATCAACCAATCAATCAGTCAACATATCATACTATATATATCGAACATATCAACAGTAACTTTCAGATTATCGTTTCAGATGTGAATAAAATTGAAAAATTTTCAAAAGTATAATCAGAGCACGTATCTCAACCACCAAACTAACACAACCTAAAAGTGGGTCATTATAGGTTTCAGCATCAACAACTTTCAATTTTTCTTCAGATTTCTTTGAGTCTGTTTTTTCTTTAATTTTTTTTTAAGTAATGTAAGTTAATGTTTTAATGAGAAAAGGAGAGGAAGAAGGAGAGATAAAGAAACTAATGAACAGGAGAAGAGCAAGATAGGCAGATACAGACAGATAAAGAGAGAAAGATAGAGTGAGAGGAGAGAAAGAGACAACAAGAAACAAGATGAATCCACAAATAAGTCCATAAAAAAATCAAATAATCAATCAATCATTCACCCAACGAACCAGCCAATCAATCAGCCAACCAATCAGCAATCCACCAACCAGCCAGCCTACAATCCCACCAATTACTAACTGGGATCAAAGGAGGATACAGTATGTTCTTTCAGGAGGGATTCCAAGGCATCCCGCACATCTGGCATTCCGGATGACGGAATGATTATCTGAACTCTGTCACTTGTCGGGGTCCGCATGGTTATCTGTCAATCAATCAATCAATCCATCGACCAATCCTGCCAATCAATCAATGTCTACCAGCAAATGCAACCAATCAAATTCTTCTTCCAACCAATCAGACTCATTCACTGCCTAACTAATCAAATATTTCCCCAACTACTCAGCCAATAGAAATGCAGCCCAGACTTACCTTCAAAAAAACACCCCTGAAATTTTGCTGTAGGTCAAAGTAGTACCGCCTCTCAGAGTGGAAGATTGAATCACTTTTTAGGGTACTTCGCGGGTCGCCACCCTCCCCTCCTTGACCCCCGGAACCTTTCGGTCTTGAATCCAGGTTTTTGATTTCTGTATATATGTTATATAAGCAAGTGCATGTGCGTGTTTCTGTGTGTGTGTTTGTATTTGTTTTTTTGTTTGTGTGCACATACAAACAAACAAACAATCCAACCTACCATCACTACTTATGAAATGACACATGTCCACGAGCTTCTCGTAAAATTCTTCAGTTGTTGTCATGTCCATTATTATCTTCGACTTCTGTCCATTCAAGAGGACCTTGTAGATTTATGAATGTATGTATGTATGAAAGTATAATTGCAGCTATGTATGTGTGAGATTAGCTTCATGTAATAGCATGCATTCAAGATAATTTGTAAGAAGGTGCTGCCCAGTACCTTCCATTCACTTTTATCTTTCAATCATTGTTATTCACTAAAACACAATTCTTTCAGAACTAAAAAGTCAAATTCATTACATTTAAATCTTTTTAATTTTGTTGTCTTCTTTCAATTGAACAATCTTTTTAAATAATATTTTTTTTATTTAATCAACAAAACCAAATCACTGAATAAAAAATTATAAAAAAAAAACTTAAGCCATCTTCACTGACTTCTGAAAATTTCATAAACTTCTCAACTTTATTCTCCATCATCACAAGAAAATATTTCTTGCCCGTGATGAACAATGTCTTCGTCGATATCTCTTTCATCATGCCTGGACAAATTTGGAAAATTAGTAACAAATACTAGCCAACTTCACCCGCAACTGATTATGTTATTTACATATTCATTCTTCATTATTCATATGATTTAATACTCTAACAACACATTTTATATTCTCACACTTAATTGGAGAACACAATAAAATTTAAACTTTATTAAAGCCATCTGTCAGATTTAAATCCCCATCATCTGTCAATCACTATTCCATCCATCTCCTATCTCAATACCCTAATTTACATTATAAAGACTATCCCAACACTAAATACAACAAAAATAGTTGGAATCTTTATCACCACACAAAAAAAACTACATTTCTCTACTTACTTTAATTAATTTAGTTTTAGTTAGTCAAGTTATTAAATATTGATTAAAATAAAAAAATCAGTTTATTAGCAGAATCTCATATCAAAAACCATAGTGTATAGATAGTACATACTGTGTATTTCGTATTAAAACCACTACTAATCAAATTATATATTACTAATTTAATTTAATTTTGTCTACTTACTCAATTAGCATATACAGTTTGGTAATTACTAATCCAATCAGTAATTAACAAAATTCTTTTTAATTTTAATTAGATGATTAATTAATTTTATAAATTAAATATTAATATTAATAAATTATTAAAAATTAATATATTAATATTAATAATTAATAATATTAAAAAATGTGAGAAAATGTGATAAATTATTAATAATTAATATATTAATATTAATAATTAATAATATTAAAAAATGTGAGAAAATAAAAAAATAAACCTCTATTATTCTTGGGCGGACCCCATGAATATCTATCCCCACTATTTCTTCTGAATGACATCTCAAAAGTTAATTAAAACAAAATACCGATCAACTTAGTGACACTTTTGAACGATTTCACGATCAAAAGCATAAATCCGTTATAATATCGTTCACAACAAAGAAATTATTGTTAACTGTAAACATTAAAAGTAAAAAAGTTATTTATCTATGTTTTTTTGTATTAAATATAATCACTAAATCAAATACTGCTGGGAAACAACATTACTTGTTTAAATTATTTTACTTCATTTAATTAATAAACTTTATTAATTTACTCGCATTTTCAACTTTAAAAAATGCAACACAGTCAATCACATGCCTAGTCTCGATTAAAAGCTATGCACACAAATATACGCACACGCACACACACACACACGCACACATGAAGAACAATTAGCACCATTACTATCATAATAATAATTTTGATGAAATCGTCTTAATAGACGAGAGGAAATATATTATCAACGACAACATTAACAACAATTGTAATAAAAATAATAATAATAATAACTATAATATTAATAATTATAGCTATAATTATCATCATACTATAATATCAATAACAAAATATTTAAAAAAACTGAAAAAAAAATCAATGGCTAAGCAAATATAATGTAACATTCATATCGGTATACTTATATACAAATATATAAGAAATATTTAGCTACACTAAATACGAACAAATATATAGAAATCACCGGATGAAAAGATTCAATCAATCAATCAATCAATCAATCAATCAATCAATCAATCAATCAATCAATCAATCAATCAATCGAGAAACCAATCACTCAAAGTGAAGAATAAAAGATATCAACATCTACGCTTGAGAGAAGAACATTAAAAAACATCACCGCAAATGTAATAACTGTATATACTATATGTGTGTGTATGTGTGTGTGTGTGAGGTGTGTGTGTGTGTGTGAGGTGTGTGTAATACCACCTAGCTAATTTGATTGTAGATAGATAGATAGGTAGGTAGATACGCGTCTAAATTAGGTAAGAAAAAGTGACTAATCATCATAATCCTTACTATCATAACATACCTATCATTATCATAATCTCGATCATCATTATCATCACCGTTATCATCATTATCATCATCGTTAAGGATATTATTATCATCATCGTCGACAAGATCATTATCAGAAGATACAACTAACAACAGAACGAATGAATGAATGAATCAGAAGCAAATGTCATGAACGAACGAATGAATGGATAAACAAATGGATGAATGAATGAATAAAAGAACGAACGAATGAATTAAAAAATGAATGAAAGAATGTATGCATGCAGAACAAAATACTTAACAAAAATCTCGGAATGGTTTCCAATAAATATGTATGTATGAATAAAAAAAATCCTCATCAACATTTTCACCCCATCATCATCATCATCATCGCAACCATCATCATCATCACAACCATCATCATCATCATCGTCGTCACAATCACCACCACCATCGTCGTCATCATCATCTTCATCACCATCATCGTCGTCATCACTCCATCTCCAACAATTTGTCGCCGTATTCAAAGACTGCAGTTGAGAACTGTGAGAAGACTCTCTCTATGAACCCCGACCTGA